TGCTACTCCTCAGCCTTTTTCCTACTTCACTGGCAACCTTTTTCTACCCCATATTAGCGCTAGGAAAATCCCATCAAACATTGCGCTCTCCAACCGCAAAAAACCACCTGGTCCGGACGATATTCCACCCATCGTCCTCAAAATGTGTACTCTTTAGGTGGCTCCCTTCTTGTATCGTCTTTTAAATCTTTCTCTCTGACTTTCCTCTTTTAAAACCCCTCGGAACCGCACCGTGATTTTTCCCATCCCCAAAAGCGGTGACCTTTATGACCCTAAACATTACCGACCCATTTCCCTCACATTTGTTATTTTGAAAGTATTTGGAACTATCGTTTCCGACCAAATACACACGTTCCTCGAACGTGAAGGACTGCTGAACGACCGCCAGTATAGCTTCCGACAGCGTTGTTCTACCGGTGACTTTCTGGCTGTTGTCGCACAATCCTGGTCAGCTGTATTCGATAACCACGATAGAACACTTATTTGCGTCTGACATCTCAAAGGCCTTGGATGGAGTTTGGCACCAAGGTCTACTGGCGAAATTAGCCATGTTCGGGTTCTCTCCGGGGCTCGTAGCGTGGATATAAAAATTATTCAGTAAGCCAATCTCCATCCGAGTTGGTGGGCCTTATCTCAGCAGTTCCCTGTGAATTCTGGCGTTCCCCAAGGTTCAGTACTTACACCCATCCTGTTCTATTTATCAATGATCTCCTTTCCAAAACGGTCAACCCAATCCATTCCTTCGCCGATGACGCCACCATCCACTACTCGCTCTCCTACCGCACTACTCGCCATGCCCAACATCATTCTTGACCGTAGTGCAGTTAATGTATCACTGGACTCCGATCTTGAACACATCTCCTCCAGGGGCAATGTAAATCACATTTCACTCGATGGTTTTAAAATATCTCATCCTTCAACTTCTTTGAAACACCTTTCGTTCTCTCCCTACTTATCTTCTGATTCCATCCAACTGCGTTCCACAGACTCTGCTTCCCTTCTTGGATTGCCCATAACTTCTACTTTTTGCTGGCTCACTTTTATAGCTGAGCTTGCTTCTTGTGCTGCGCGCAAGGTTGGTTTTCTACTTCGCGCCAGACGTTTTTTCACCTTTGAATTCCCATAGTCACGCTTAGGGTATAGCTTCATCATCGTGCAGCGAGATACAGTGAAGCAAACTTCACTGATCGCTGCCAAGCTTCGTCCTCTTCTCTTCCCGTTCTTGATCTTGTTCAAAAAAATGTCATATGGCTGATCGACGATCCTTCCCTAATAACCAATTTGCAGTTAC